ATATATACTCTCAGGCGTCTTAATTAAATTTTCAAACTGGTGAAATTAACTAAACTTTTCTAACTGCTTTGCCCCGCTACTAATACAGACATTCCGATATATTCCATGTACCCTGCAGTGCGTAAGTGTCCCCATGAAATAAAGTTACTTGTTCAGTGATATTATCTAACAGAACAAGACATGGACTGGTTGCTTTGTTATGCGATGAGGGACACTGAATATTTAAAAAAAATACCGATTCCTGCTGGCAGACGAAGTGTAAAAAATTCAAATCTAACCACGATTCGTTCATCGGTGCAAGCATCAACATGCATGAACAAAGTATTTCGATGTTATTGTTTAAGCAACATCGGCTCACGGGTCGCTCGGCTACAAGAATCGTCAAAGAACGAAATTTTTCGTTTAGTTTATCTCTGAACTGTCTACATTGGAATGCTTATGGGGCTACTGTCTCTGAACTATGTACAGTGAAAATGAAAAGCTTATGGGGCAACTATACACCGCCAAAGACACCTCCATTGAAAAGTAGACAGTAGAAGCCGTTGTTCGGAGATTGAGCGGGAAGTAATGTTGCGGAAAATGGAACGCATCCTGAACTATTTTTGGACTAGAGAAATCTCCTGCAGGGTATTTCCTTACATTTCCACACTCATTTTACGCGTCATACGGTTTTATACTCGTAGTTTGTGTGTGTGTGTGTGTGTGTGTGTGTAGTTAATTCTATGCGTAGGTAACGGACGTAACGTTGTCAGCAAAATGACAAAACAGTAGCAGATTTTTTACTGCTTTTGAGCGAGCCACACGCACAGGCTCAGGTGTTTTAAGCAAATAGGCATACATACCCTGCAGGGAAACCACGAACCAAATTTCTAGTTCCGTACTAGAGCTTTATCGCCAAAAACGAACCAGTATGTGTTTGGCGGCTTTTTTGTTGGGACTTGAACCTAGGCCCTTGGAAGTGGTAGCGCGCACTGCTAACCACTACACCACAGTTGAGGCAGTTATGTGCATGCAAAAGAGATTTCGCTTGGCGCTATGAGTTTTTATTAGTGCGTGTCGACCTTCGAATCGGATTGCTTTTCGAATCGCAGAGTATACCTCCAGTACTGGGTCTAAATACACTTGAAGTGCACCAGTTCAGAACTAGAGATTTTCCCCACAGGGTAGATACATACTATGTATGTACATACATACATAACTGTCCGCCTAAGCGCCCACGGCTTAGTACTCAATTTATGCCGCTTCACATTACGAACCTCTACAGTAAAAGCTAATTGCAATTGTTTGTGTTCGACGTAGTGTAGTGAAAAGTTTTATGAAACGAGGAGTATTTGGGTTTATTGCTTGGAATTTTCGTATTATGGTATTTTAACATTTTGCTGTCTCAACACCAAATGAACATAGATTATGCGGAGAGCTCTATAATTTAATTGAGTTTTAACCAAATTAATAAAGGTAAACAACTAGACACTTGTGGTATTCACATCGGCCTAGTCGCACCAAAAGTATTCGTAATGGGGCCCTTATACTAAGTTAATCGAAATTGTGGCAGCAGACGAACTACGGGCACGCAGCGGTCTTAAAGGTAATTAATACTGGACGGCGTTACGGAATCAAGGTCGACTTAGATGTCGAAGCTTATTAACTCTCGCCAACTTGGCATTTTATTTTTAAGATTCCCACACACTTTCCAACTAGGGAAGATTGGGAAGGTGGCCCACTGTCGCTAAATGTTGGTATTTCCATCTGCACCAATGGCTCAATGATGAACAAATGAGCCGGCTTCTGTCTGTACTCCAAGGACTTTCAGATAAGGCATTCATAATGCCTGCCTGCTGACTGCAGTGTCTTTCAGGTGGAGGTCTTTGCCATAGAGAAGGCGGCTGCCTCTGTCAGGGAACGTCACTATATTCGTTGACAGCCTGGCGGTATTGAAAACATTGGGCTCCAATATAATGTAACGTCAAAACCTCTCACTGCTGGGTTCCTGGATACAGCAATATCTTAGGGAGCAAAATAGCCGATAAGATGGCTAGACACGGCTAACTCCCTATTACCAAGGATTTCCTTTCTGCTGAAGGGGGTTGGAGAATACACCACAACCGTTAACACTGTGAATCAATCGGGGCTACTGTGGGATCTCAAGATGTTTTAGGGCGAGACTCGATAAGAGCCGTACTGAGAAATAATTGACGATAACAAATCTGCAGTAATGGCTCTTACCGGCGTCATCACAGGGCAATGCACCAATGCTCCATCGATAACGTATACCAACAGTCTCTCTCTGCGGATTCACCACTTCCTATGTCAATGCCCAGTCCTCTTAAGAAGGCGTCTCAAGGATTTGGAATCGCGCATTTGCAAATGTTTGAAAGAGATAGCGTAGGTGAGAATATCGGAGCTCCACAGTTGCATCCGGGTAGTGAATACGATACTGACAATATGAAATACTTAACTTTGGTTAGAAGGATATGCCTCCTCCTGGCATTCATACAGTGCATTTTCAATGTACGCGTATTCCTAACCTAACCTGAAACCACGACCGACTTTATATAAATATATTTCAGCCGTTTCAAGTTTACGACATACAAAAATACAACACCTACCACACCGCTGTGAATACCCAAAATGTATATTCGTTTATACAAATGCCAACCGACGTGTGATGTAGCCAGTCGGACGTCAGTTAAGTCAGCGAGGCAGTAAAGAGTTCAAATTGTGGGCAAAGTTGCTGACATAAATGAAAGTTGAAAAGTGTGTCCTCCTTGTCAAATACATTTTCCTAATTGTATTGTGTAGGCATGTTAAAGCAGATTTTCATTATTCCACCCTTAAAGAAGTTAAGCGAATTATGTAGGTGGTTGCAAGTTTGACATATAATAAAAAATGGCTGACACTTCCTACATTTTACTTGCATATTCAACAGCTAATTGACAAACCGATGGGTTATTGTGAATTAGGAAAGTTCATAGCTTGCAGGTTGAATTTGAAAAGCAACTGCGGCCTCCAAGGAAATTAACTCGGAAGTAGCAACGTCGAAGGAATCGAAAATGTATTGCTCATCTTGGAGAACATTCATTTCAAGTATCTATTCAGCTGCAATCATTTACACTTTCAAATAAATAACAGTGAGGACATTGTGCACTCGGTTTAATAAGTACCCTGATGGAAACAAGTGATTTTTTTTTTAAATCAACTAATTGAAAGACTACTTTAAAACAAATGAAATGAGAAACGGTTTCGAGTTTTTACACTCTTTTTACTCAAAAAAACAAAAAACAATTTGTGTCTTGGAAGTATGAAAAAGCATCTGTGAAGTGCAGAACGAAAGCGTATGCAAAAGAAAAACATACTGACTTTGAAGTTGTTTCAACCAAATTTATTATAAGGTAGTGCAAAATATATGCAGGAAAAGGCAATTGACTGCTTCCTAGAACATCGCCATGTTAAATATCTGAGTTCGTTGTAGGTAAAGTAGTGAGAATTTCAATTAGTTATCATTGAAAATAAAGTAGTTTGTATATTACTTTCAAACTAATTAAATTTCCTACAGGGTACCGTTCAGTGCATCGGAAGCGTTTGAACGGTTCCCTTCTCATCCATTTCTAAAGCGACTATTCCAGGATGGGCCCAATCTAGCTGCGACTCAAAATCCAACATTAAAGTAGGCAGGGAAGGGCTTATGGGGATTCAAATTGTTACTTAACGCCCGCTTCCCTCTCCAGTTCCCTATAACGCATGGCGCCCGCCTCTGCACCAAGAAAGTGGGCCAAGCCGATATTTGGGGCCCTCGGAATGTACGTTCATCTAAAACAATGGAAGCATACCTACCGTCTATCACAACGTAGTCGATTTTGTCTCTCGTTTTTCGATCTGGAGCTTGATGGGTCTTTTTATACTGGAACCTAGTACTACATAATACCATTTATCGTACTCCGGCGAAGTCAAACTGCCCCAGTCCGTTATCGGACGCATCGTCGTGGAGGCGGAATTTTCCAACAGTGACGTTAAAGACCCCTTCCTTGCCCAGTTTTCCACTGAAATCGGCAGGCAAAATTTTTATATCATGCCGCGAGCAGCGCACGCTCCAAGCGCTCATACAATAGATCCTTGAACGCCTCGTCCTTCTCTTCCGTCGAGGCTTGGGCACAGATGAGCGATATGTTGAAGAATCTCGCTTTTTTCCACCAAAGTAATCAAACAAATTACTTGATTTGTTTGCTAAAAGCAATATCAGTGGTGTAGAATCCATAAAGCTTCATACATCAATATGTATAATAGTATAAAATTTCCAGGCTTGCGCACACATGTTTGAATTTAAGCTAATATAATACACGTACTACAGTTTGACCTTGCTCAAGTTTCGGTTGTGCGATTTACATGGGTGGGCTTCCGTTCAAGCATTCAATTGTTTTGTAAACTTTTTCTCGTAGCTTTGCCAATTCTGTCATTCCACTAAATTTACGATGTATACGCTAGAAGGCGCTTAAAAAAGCAACAGGATCCACAACGAAGCAAAAACATACATTTCGTTAAAAGTGACTGCTTGACGTAGGTGGAAAACCGCAAAAAGACAGGCGCATTAAATTACACCTACAGCAGGTGGCAATTGTTTGTGTTCTTGTTCTAAAAATAGGTATTTTTTTCTCTTTTTGGCGCAGTAAATTTTTAGAAAATATACGCGATGAAACGCATAGTATTATATAGGGTGTACACTGTACATTCTTATGTTAATTTACAAACATTTGTATAGACAACTACGTCTTGCGAACTTCATCAAAAACATTGTTGTTGTAAATCGCACTGCTTATTCAATGTACCGCTTAATCAATCCAAACAAAACCCAAAATACATACTTATGTACATATGTATGTATGTATATAGAATAATTTTTCTTTTCTTTTTACAGATAAATACTCCCGCACCATTTCCGAAGACGCTAAAAAAAAATGAAATTTAAAACAATCTTCTAGGCACATGCACTCACATATACAGTCATAATGTTTTCCCACGCACTTTTGCGCCCACAATTGGCCACAGTTGCCATCGCCACCGGTGCATTAGCCGGGACTGCAACATCGGACGAAATGCTACTGCTCGATGAGGATATCCTCATCACACAAGCGTACTACGGCAATTCGCCGCTCTTTGCCTTTGATTCATCATCGCTGGTGGATTTTCAACAGCTACTGCAGAGTGACGCATTCAAGCAGAATATGTCACTGACACTTAATATCTCAACGGAAAATCTGACAGATCTGTTGAATACGGCGCAACTGAATCAAACTTTAGAGCTACCACAGCAACAGCTTTCCATGTCCGTATTAATAACGCTCACCATTTTCTATGCAATCATTTTTGTGGCGGGCGTGCTGGGCAACCTTATCACATGCATCGTTATATCGCGAAATAAGTTTATGCATACAGCGACAAATTTCTATTTATTCAACTTGGCTGTTTCCGATTTGATGTTGCTGCTGTCAGGTGAGTGTTGATAGAGACTAGTTTATAACTAATCTATAAACATGTATGCATGTAAACTGGTCAAAATAATTATGCGTACAGTGATTTCTTTCCCATATTCGTATGGGTTTTCATAATGATTTTTTTGTTAATTTTTCGCACAAATATACTAGTTCATATTCAACAAAAAATTTTACAAAACTTAAAAAAGTTAACAAATCTTCATTAATATATACAAAATTTTATTCGGAATTTTCAAAAAAAAAATTTGAGTATGCAATTTTTTAGCTCATTTAATTTCAGTATAATAAAAAAATTCCGTTGATTTTTGCGACCTTTTTTCTCAATAATTTTAAGTTTTTGTAAAATTGCATTTACACTCATTTTCATTAATATAGGAAAATACAATGTTATTTTGGCTTATTCGCATAATAATAAATAATAAATTTACTGTTAGCTAAACTTAATTTTATTATTAATGCCATATGGCATAAAATAATAGATAAAGTAGCTTTACAAAAGGTTTATAAATTGAAAAATGTATGAAAACGTCATTTTACAAACCGGTTTCGACGTTGTGCCATCTTCAGTGTCACGAAACGAAAAATGACACTGAAGATGGCACAACACCGAAACCGGTTTTTCTCTAAACCCAATTTGACAAGGGATGACGGAAAATCGTTCCACAATACACCAATTTGACAAAAGCCTATTCAGCAAAGTTACTGCGAAGGATATGAATCATAAAAGCTTATATAAAAAGATTAACGACATTATTTTGTGTAGATACGGATATACAGTGACTCAAACAAGTGACCACGTTGAGATTTTTTTTTAATATTAGTAATGTTTTTTGAGCTGATTTTCTATAAAAATACCATCCAACGAAAATTCAACAAATTTTTATCAAAATCTCTACTTTTTAATATGAATCTTTAGAACACTTTTGGGTATGCATATAGCACATACATTTTAGTCTAATAAAGTACAAGTTTCAACTGGCTAAAAAAATTGCGTTGATTTTTGAGATTTATTTATTTTTTGATATGGCTTTCGATAAAAATTTGTTGAATTTTCCTAAATTTTTAGTAAAGTTTGAAACTGAGATTTATATGGTGTTCTTTAAATCTTGGACAATATTTTTATAGAAAAATTACAAAAATATTTAACTCGAAAAACATTACGAATATTTAAAAACCAAAACCAATACCTTTTTTGAGTCACTGTATGTATTTACAGGGGGCCGGATTATATACAGCCGAGGCTATGGCTGCTGAAAACGCTTTCCAAACAAGTGTTTACGTGGTACATAAATTAAAAAAAATAAAATAAAAGACGAATTGATAACCTCTTAGTTTTTTTTTTTGAAGTTGGTTAAAAAGAAATTTTAAAGCTACATTAAAGATACTATTAAATATTCATATGTATGTAAATATTTATTTTTACTTTCGTAACATTTATTTTATTCTCATTTGCAGGCGCACCGCAAGACGTTTACAGTTATTGGTATCCGAATGCCTTTCCATTTGGGGATGTGATATGTATATTGGGAAGCGTTTTAGCGGAAACCGCCACAAATGCAACGGTATTGACAATCACAGCATTTACCGTTGAACGATACATAGCGATATGTCATCCATTTCGGTGAGTGCGAGTTGGAAGGCATCCGTTTTCTTTTTTTTTCTTTTTTTCTTTTTGAAAACATTGAGCTGACACTTTCATTTCACTTTAATTTAATGCATTTCTACAATCATTTTAATGTGTTTTTTGTTTAATTGAGTTGGGTTTTCTTAAGCAAATGTGACGACAAGCAGAACGAGATGTAGAAGAAGAAGCAGGCGACAGCGCGACAACAAAATTCTCTTTTAATTTTGGCTGAGTATTTATTTTTTTTGCATTGCTCTACCTTCGTTTGAACTATTCAACTTCAACTGACAACTTAAGCGATTAATTATTGCGATACGGCTGCCCTTTTTTTAGGGCGCACTGTTGGTTACGCTTTCAAGATTTTCACTTTAATTTTCATACACACACATATATTTTTATGCTTACTATAAAATTTTTTTCGTTTATTTGCTTAATGGTAGTAAATACTCTACACCAGTCAATTTTGTGAAGTGAATTTTTTTCCCTTTTTATCGCCTAATTGCAGACAGCACACCATGTCCAAGCTATCGCGCGCCATCAAGTTCATCTTCGCCATTTGGGTGACGGCGTTGCTGCTTGCCCTGCCGCAGGCAATGCAATTCTCGGTTGTGTCAGAGCAGGGCGGCACCTCGTGCACAGTAAGTTCACCGCTTTTTTTAAATAGACTTGATTGCAAAAGACAAAAAAAAAATGAAAAGTACGTTTTAGTTTCAATATTGCAGTGGTGACCTTTACCTATGCATGCCTTTGAAACACCTACATATGTACTTGTCTTTGTCTGCCATATTCAGTCGATATTTAAACTCATACGCGTGTGTGTGTGTATGCGTTCGTTTCTTATCTTTTCTCATTCACAGATTGGCAATCATTTTGTCGAGCATGTTTTCGCCGTTTCGGGCTTTATCTTCTTTGTCGGTCCCATGACGGCAATTTGTGTACTCTATGTACTAATTGGTATAAAGTTGAAGCGTAGCCGATTGCTGCAGGCGGTGCCACGGCGTAGTTTCGATGTGCATCGCGGGATCAGCGCACAAAGTCGTGTGATCAGAATGCTGAGTAAGTAGCCCAAGAAGTTTGGAGAGCCACAAGAGAACAGGTATTGAAAAACTAGTAAAATAGAACTGTGCAATAGTAATTTTAGGACCTAAACGAAAAAATGCATTTCCTTCGTATGACACCGGCTTACAGCAAAAATTGTTCAATGAATGCCACTAACCAATTCCTATGTCGAATTGCTCGCTGATTCCGAAAATCGAGTTAACTTTTTTTCTGTGGATAAGTTTTCGAGATATTTCCGATTTACCATTGATCGGCTACAAAAATAGTTCCACTTATTCACCTTTATCTTATGAAGTAATCAAATAACCTTAATACAAAGTATGATAAATGAAAGCCAAGAACATCCTCCATAAATCGTAAAAACATAATTTTTCGATAGCCCTCATCGGTGTATAAATAAAATAGGGACGAGTGGTCAAATGAAAATGCCGAAGAAGCTTGTTGCAATTTAGAGACTTTTCTCTTTCTCTTTCCTTTCTTGTGGGAGTTCAACAACATCCACCAGAAAGGAATAGTCAAATCACTGCATAAGCATACAGGCTCCAACCTTTATGCAGACATTTTGGTTAACCAGGTTAGTAAATGGACTCATAATGGCAACCACCACATCAATCCGAGTAAGACAGAACTACTTCTCGCAACGAACGCTTTAATTGGGCGATTCCGCTCTCAACTTTCGAAAAGTCAAAAGATTATGAGGATGATATCGGTTTCCTTTTATTACTGTATGCGAAATTCATAATAATAATAATAATAATAAATAATAGATTAGCTCTTATACATATGTATGTTACTGTGTGGCCGAGCTTCTCCCTCAATTTGTGGCGTTCGACTCCGAACTGCGATTGTGTTTTTATGAGAAGCTGTTTTTCATGGCAGAAATATACTCGGGATTAGTCAGGGGCGACCGCTATTACAAAAAACCTTTTTTGTTTTTTTTTATGTTGATTTGAACTTAATATATGGGAGCGCTGGGGAAAAACTATGGCATGCGCAATGGCAAGGTCCTTCAGACAAGAACGGATCGGAGACAGTCAAAGCAGTGGCTTGTGCTTGAAAAGCCATAGCTCATGCTTTTGGTGGGCTCTTGCGGGTGACCACGCTAGTCAGAATAAACGCGGTAAGAATGAAAATAACATTTGACCTTTACTGCCGCAATTGTCGGAAGGATGACTATTCAACACCAGCCGTTTTGTTAGTACCATTCAAAATAGAGTAGAGCAACAAAGAACAACAACTATAATGTCATAGTGTGTCCACAACTGGAAACGACTACTTAACTAAACCTAACCACCTTTATTAATTACTTCGAAGAATAATGAAGATGATCCATAAAACTGTAGGGAAAATCTCAAGTTATTAAATGACACCAAAAACCGCCGAAACACAGGCGAATTGTACACTGTTTTTTTTTGTTTAATTTATCCCCACGTATGCAATATTTATAAGGGTCAAAAATGACAATTACAATAAAAGTTAGAATAATTATGTGTAATTTTTGAAACTTTAGCCCATTGAAAAAGTGTGATGAGATGAGGCAATTACCATGCATCGATAATACCGTTTGGAAATATTTTGTTTGATGCCCTAAAATTTATGTTGCACAGCGTAATTTGAAAGTTGTATGCTTACCATATATTTTATGTTCATCATACGCCATGGCGCACTTATGCTATTAACATATCTGTTCTGCGCTGTAAATCCATTGTTAAGATCTTACTTTTGTTACTATCTCTTAAGCTGGTAGCAAAATATTGCCCCGTGAAATATGCAATGCTAGAATTTCTAAATTTTTCGGTAACGTGCACAAAGACCTGTAAATAATATCTTTTACAAAATACTCTCGAAAAATTAAAAAAAAACAATTTGGCAGTTATTAATTGGGCCTATTAATCATCAAACTTACATAATTCTTATAAACATGCAATACTCGAAATGTTTACAAATCCCAACACGCGCGTAGCTTGAAGCCTGTTGCTTTCCATAATTTATATCCTCCGCGGCACAGCAAACAAATTTCGTTCGAGCAAACAAAACAAAACTCATTCAACCAGTTAAGCTGTCAATAAGCCTCAAACCCCATTATCCCTTACATGCTTTCAAATCGCCCTTTACTTCCGGTAAACATGCCTGCATAAATATTTACACAAAGGGTATTCAGAGTATACTCGTTAAGGTCTTGATTCGGTATTCGGTAACTCCCACCATTGTTTTGTTTTTGTAAATTACCGAATATGTCGTTACCAACTTAATGAGGTGGCAAGTCTGAAAATGTGATAACACATGCGTTAAAATATCAGCTGATTAATTTTTGTTACTAATTTGCTGGGATTTTCTCGCGGGAAAAGTGCATAAATATTATCAAAAGTTCAATAAATATCTCTGTCGTGGAATTAATAAAGTTTTATAAATTAAAGAACTTTTAGTCAGCTGATTCGAAAGTAATTTTAACCAGAAAAATAATAAGGGCATTCGAAGTTGAAAGTATTACCAGATAACGAATTAACGCATTAACGAGCATAGTCTGAATACCCTTATAATTTTGTACGAGTGCTAACAGTAACACACCCGCTCAACGCAATTAATGGCATATATTGCACAGTAGGCGCCGACCGCCAATACCATTTCCTCCCTTATATATGAATATTACGGCTTACTGTAATCAAATGCTTAAGGAGCTGACTTGATTGCGTGTACCAACTGGCATACGAAGCCTACATATTTATTATTATTTTAAAAAATTTCAGGAGATACGAAAAATAGATGTAGTTTCGCATTATCTATAATTCTGCATTAAAAACTAAAATAAAAAATAGTGGACTTGGCACCTTTTCACCTAATAATTTTAACAATCGTAAAACAGATGTGCACAGCTGTGGCATGAACGGAAAATGTGCGTTATCGCGTGACAGCTGAGTGTGGTGTTTTACGGGAGTGTGGTTGCTGAGCAAACACTTACCAACATCAAAAGCAAACAAGTTATACATATATATGAAATAACCTCACGAAAACTTTGTGCGGTGCTTAAAGTAAACTTTGCAAAATGGTTATGAATACAAAATTTTTGAATGGCTGCATATCTTTTTGTAAAAATAAATATAGCAGATTCGGGTATAAGTAATCATGTTTTCTTTACAGAATAGAGCTGAGTGGATTTTTGAAAAAAAAAACATCTCGTCACTAGACACGAATGGAGATGCACCAACAACAATGTTAAGTCTTTCTTAGCTAAAGTTTTTTTTCGCAGTCAGCTTTTGAGCTCGCGTCTTTATTTGTGTCTATTGATGATATATTTATGTACATTAGGGTGTATCGCCCTCCATCCACAAAAAAGATCGATACAATTTTTCCTGAGGAATTATAAAATCTATTATATTTTCAGACATCTGCCAAAATAATTCGGAAAAGTATTACGATTTGCGTGCCCATTTGAAAAGACAACCACAAATTTAATTTTTTTTTAAATAACCACAGAGGACACAAGGGTCTAAGCTCCAAAGATCTGCAAAAAAAAATTTTTAAAAATTGTATGAACCGAATCAAAATATTCCGATTTTTGTAAGAAGATTTTTTTGGTGATGCACCCTAATGCAATTTGTAATATATGCAGTGCTGCCAGGTAGCTGAACATAGAAATCGCAAAAACGGTTCTCGAAAATAGTCCTTTTTATTGAAAAATTGTCAACACACAAAATATTCAGTTTGTAGTTAACTGAAAACAAACTCACTTTTTTGCGATATTATCACTCCAGATTTATTCACATGTTGGCCTTTCACTAAACCCATTCTTCAATGGAAGCTCAATTTGTGGTAGGAATTTTCCCTCAATAAATGTTCCCCACAACTTGTTTAAGGAAATCTAATAGAAATAAGTACGAAATTCCTCATTTCAGACCCACCTGAGTAAAGTTAATATTGACTTAAAAAATTCAATTTGAACATCTTTTTTTTTCATTACATTAATTTAAATATGCTTAACGTAATCTAAATAAAACCACAATGATACAATGATGGCATTATTAAATATCAAAAAAGTTTTACTTATAAATTTAGAAGACTAATGCGTAGTTTCACGAAAGCAATTTAAGCGAAAAAGAATTTTTGATTTGAATTTAATATGGATACTGACAGAATTGAAAAAAATCATTTTTCACTTAAGTTTCTGGTGAAACCGCATAGCCTGTATGTACATACATATTTTCATGATTTGAAAATAAATGTAATTTCACAATTAAATAAACCTCTCTTTCACTTGCCTTTTTTGCTGCGTGTTTCCTCTTTCCTCCGTTTTTGTGTTTCCTTGTTTTCTTTTTTCTTTTTATTTGCATGTCGCACCATTCGCCCACGTTTGTCCTCATTTCCGCGCACAACATTCAACAGTTGCCGTTGCTGTGGCGTTCTTTCTGTGCTGGGCACCCTTTCATGCACAACGCTTGATGGCTGTATACGGCAGCAGTGCCAACATTGAATCGCAACTCTTTAAAGATGTCTTCGAAGCTGTCGACCTTATATCCGGTGTGCTGTATTACCTATCGACGTGTATTAATCCGCTGCTATACAACATCATGAGTCACAAATTTCGTGATGCTTTTAAGGTAAGTTAAGTCGCACGTCAATGTGAAGTGATTGAGTGGTGGGGGGGGGTCATAAAACAAAATTAAATGCCGGAAATAACTAGATTGAAATACGAGGTATGCATACGAAAGCGTAAGTTGGTTGCCCTTTGATATAAAATGTAGTTATTGAAATGAAGTAGTAATTCAAATTGATAAGAGCACGTCCTGAATTCGAGTATTTTTTAGAAGAAACGTTATTAAAATGCGAAACTTCAAGCAAAACTTACTCCGAAGAGGGGAAAATATATGAAACTAATGCATACATAACTACATATGTATGTATTTACATATATTTATATACTTATAAGTAGACTTTTTCCGGCGCATTTTGGAATTCCTTTGTGGTAATAACCAGGTCTGAGCGACGACGACTGCGATATAATTTTATGGTAAAAATTAAGCAAAAATTAATTACTGATTCATACCGATTCGCTTGAAATCCAGTACAGGTGAGATTATGGCAACTTAAGGTAACTTAGAGGCTGGCACTTAAAAATTCTCTTAAAGGGATGTTGCTCATATTTGAACAGCCGAAACTTTACGTAACATAATGCCACGTCAACATCGTCTTTGCGCACACGCGACGCTACCCCAAGAGTACTGCGCAGTTAGCGTCGCCCAGACCTGGTAATAACTGGTTGATACCAACGATGATGTTATAAATTTCTTGCTCCAGGAATTTTCATTTGAAATATTTTATTGCCTCGTTTTCGTTCACTTATCATTAATGTACACCATTCCATTACTTTTACCTATATTGGTTTTAAAACAATAAAATTTAATAAATAAAGGGAAATTTAATTAGAAAAAGAAAAAAAGGAGTTTCATGGTATTAAACAATTCAATTAGATTAAAAATATATTTATTACAAGACAAACAATTAAAAAAATTTATTTTTATTTTCAAAACTATAAAATCTAAATGTTAGAAAAAAATGAAATTAACAAAGAATAACAACAACTAATTTCTAAGAAAATAATAAAATTCAAAAAATCACTAGAAAATTTAACCACAAAAAAAACTATGTATATTAAACAATTTTTATTGAGCTTTAGGCCGCTTTTAATGCAAAATTATTGTGGAAAAATAACAGTAATTTAAATCACTTCACTACATTCACTTAACTTTGAATTTCACCTTAATAATAATAATAATGATATTTTGGCGCTGGCATTTTGGTTTGGTTCTCCAATTTGTGGTAAGCAACCTTATGTTATGTGTAACATAATGTAATCGAGGGACCTATAATTTGATGGCCCCTCCAAGTGGCAAATGGTTGTCTGAGAAACTTTATCAAGGCAGAAATATGTACTCTCGGAGGTTTTGTCATTTCCTGTCAATGATCTGCCGCTTGTAAAAAACAACAGGATTTCACTTCACCTCACTTCGTTTCGTTTTATTTCGAGTTTTACAATTTTGTTAATATTCACCCAGTATTTTATGTTACTATCCCCCTTCTGTATTGCATTATCGTTACCAACAACTATTTTATTTTATTTTAAACTCACCACACTGCTGAGCATTTCATTTGAAACGTATTCTCCACTCTTTCCCAGGTAACTCTGGCACGTCAATTTGGATTCCCCGGTCACTATCAGAGTCAAAGCCACAACTATAGCGCCCTCCTGCGACAGAATGGTTCCATGCGCCTCCACACAACGGTGAATAACAATGCTCTCGATCACTACCACTCTTACCGAGTTATGCAATTGCATTGTCGTGACCAAAGCCATCATCTTTCTCTGCAGGATAGCATCAGAACAACAACAACAACGACAACAATTAACAGCAGCGGCGGCGGAGGCAGCGCTATGGGTAGCATTATTTTGAGCGGAGTAGGCGGCAACAGCGCCAGTCGTCAATCATCGCATCGCTCGCGTTACACCTCCGTTGGTTCACAATCCCCACTCACAGCGACGCTGACGAGGCATAACGAAATCGCAACGAATAAAGTGAACGGTTCGACAGCAGTATCCACACCCAGGCAACAACACCATCACAAGCTGCAATCCCAACTATCGCAGCGGTCCAACGGCGCCGACAGCAACTTACTGCTCGACATGGAGTTGGGTGCGGGACATGCCTATTGTCACGGCCATCCGCAGCCGGTGGCGATTAATTTCAGTAGAAATAATAACTTGCGCCGTTCCGTCATTAGCAATAATGTGATGCAAGCCGTGCGTAATGCGCGACCTTTGTGTGATGATCGCGCATCGATTAACTCGCAAGAGTGGGATAGCAGCGCCAGTCAATATGAACTTTGCGACATAGTACATTGCCTTGGCGAGCCCGAATCCGAATTGCCAAAGCCAATATCGCCAGCTAGTCTGACGATGAGCCGCCTGCCAGCCACGCAGCCTATGCAACCGGTACAGCCGGTAAATTCCATAGCGGAATTAGACGTGCATGCGCCGGCACGCGCGCGTCTCAAACTTTCACGAATTATCAGCCGACGTGACCAGGACACTTTGTTGGCCAAGTCCATTCCGCGCGCTGAACTAATGCGCAGCGCTGTTAATGTGCCTAATGTGCCTGGTTCACCGTTTACGACATACGAAAGTGACAAGACGAAGCATGCGAGACCCGCAAATAACGGACGTACGCACAAAACATTCGACACACTCACCGGCATGTTCCACTGGCGAGCACGTAAAAAAGAGTTAAATGGCCGACGTGTTGGTCGGGGTGGTGACGATCTTGGTGGCGCTATCAGTGGCGGTGGCAAGAAGCGCACGCGACGAGATAGCACTTCTACGACACACGCCCACAGGAGTACACATGGTACGCCCACAACTCGGGTAGCGCTTATGCGTAGCATATCGGCCACAGCACCAGGCATGCTCGAGTCTACACTCAACGCCGATATATCGGGACAAAAGCTGTAAAAGGGACACGCACGCTGTGCAATGCGTAGCATCTTTTGCAACTTAACAAAGTACATACAAAGTGAACTAATATTTCGTGTATGACTTTTGTCAGGTCACACAGACCAGATGACGCCAAATTCAGGCCTTGCGTACTTACTCATACATACATATGAAGAAATATATGTGCGCGTGTGCAAACGTCCGACATATTCAAACTCACTGACCCTTACAGCTTGCCCATACATACGTAAGTGTAAGTGATATAAAACAGAGCCACAGAAGAAGAATTATTTAAGTAGAAAAGCACAGCTCTTCATAGTCAAGTTCACGTTAACAACAATCTTCTCACACCAACTTCACCTATGCAGTCACGGCCACGTTAAGTGCGAGTTCACTAAATCATCTGAGCAGTCTGTCTCATCAGCGTGTTAGGCCACTTATCTAGCCAATTTATTGGCATAGCCACCCGTCCTACTAACCACAAAAAACACACACACATGCATACATACTTACATACATATGTATGTGAGCTGTTCTACATAAATATATGTACTACGAGTAATGCTTGCGGTGTTATTCACATTACATTTGTATCTTGTCGCATCGCTTCCATTTGCCATATTTGCGTAAATACAGAAATGAAATAAATCGTAAGAAATCCCTAGTCAGACAAGCGAATCGCTTGAAATGCCATAACATTAAGATTCGAGAAAATCAAGCCCACAACCCGATTGAAATGTGACATATGTTAATGGTGATTTTCAGCAGCTGAAAATTGAGAAGTGTTGCGAAGTGAGAAGAAGACTTTCTGTGCAAAACAAAGTCATATATTTTTAGCGAAAAATGCATTAATGTTACATTAGACCGTATGATCTTAGAAGCAAAAATTCCTAACTGATGAATAAAACTTACATCTTCCTCCTCACTACAACTCAATTCAAGAGCATTCAATTTTGACTTCCCTTTTTTGTGAATCAATAATAAAGGGCGCTCTTCAACTAAGGTTCCACTCAAAATATTACTTCTCATAAAAGAGTATTCTGTCTCTTTTGCTCATCTAAAAATTTTTCTAATTTTGCTATTTTCTCTATGACCAATTTCTGAATAAAAAATTTGGCATAAAAACCTTTAAACATTTATCTTTCAAAATGTGAGTGATAAATATTTTTCGCACCAGCTTAGAACACGGAGCGATGAAAATAAAAAAGATGCGGTCAATACGAATAAATTCTTTAACAAATACTCCTCGCGCAAATTCATGAGTGAGCTGAATATGTGAGGAGTTTTTAGTGAAGAGACTCTAAATAAGTCTTGCATTCTGAGTGTGATTGGAGTTTAATTGGTGTGCTCTTAAAAAATATAACTTCTCAGAGCAAAGGCGTATTTTTAAAGATTTACGAACTCCGGCCGTATACCCCGGAGTCTAAAGTATTTTTGCAACGCAATTTTGAAATAAAAAAAAATATTTTTGATAACCACATTATGCAAAATATTTTTTTTTTTTTAAATATTTCCACTGCAACAATAAAAGCACTTCCGTGGCAAAACTTTGATGATTTTTGATTAGCTTTAATTAATTGGGTGATAAGAACTGAGATCTGGTGAGTAAGTACTAGAACGAGGTCAATGAACTTTGGAACAAAACAACTACTTCTACAGACAAAAACATCGTTATATCCTACTTTAATTTCCGACTATAAATACCGAAAATATACGAGAAATGTTCGAGCAAAAAAAAAAATGAATTATTTTAGAATTTGTCTTGCCAAAATACTTTAAACTCAATGGTCTATGGCGTATTTTTTTCCAGGGTGCGGTCTATTGTACATATGTATGTAAATGCACACCACGGCGATACAGACTGGAGGTTTAATAGGCTACATAGTACATACATACGTTGTTGTTTTTAGGTAGAACATTATTTTAGAGCAAATGAAAAAATTTGAATGCTTCTTTTAAAATATTTTGCATGTCAGATATTTCTCACGAGTTTTCAGTTGCGAAAGGCAAAAAAAAAACAAAGATTTAAATATTTCTATAGTTGACTTTGAATGTGAGTTGGGTAAGTTTTGCGTTAGGAAGATTGCAAAGAGTTTTTCAATTCGGACGGTATTCAAACGTTTGGTAGCCAAATTCGATAAGCAATTAGGTATCCCCGTTATCAAAGCATCTACAAAAAAAATTTACCTTGAGTACCACCTGTCCATTGCGATTGAAAGTTTATTCTCTGGTCCATAAGAACTTGCACTTATTGCATTATCAAAATAAAGAAGCTCTTTCATGATGTGATATGCCTACAAAACTATACTGTAATACTTGTTTGATGGACATCAACTCAAAAGGTTAGTTACCTAAAACTTTAAGGACCATCCCAAATAAGGCGCTACTGGTGATAAGAAATGTACCTGCTGTTAACATGATAGGGAAAGACGTGAGCCGCCGCTGAGGCGCTCAGACTAAGAAGTATGGCGCCATGGAAGGATCGACGGTTTGATCACTCTTACATACTTCACCCTCTCGATAGTTGTTTGCAAGAAATCGACTACTCTGCCCCTGTACCCACCCGCGAGAAGCTCTTCAAGACAAGAATCCCATCAAAAAGAGAGTAGCGAAAACCGGCACCATGCAGAAGGGGGAGTCAAAGCTAAACAATAGGGCTGGCTTTGGAGTTTCTCTGAAAATTTAGGATTCGAATTATCACTACAAATTCCGGTCGACTGCAACAGCATATCAGGCATAGGTTCTAGCCACAAAGCAGGTGACAGCGACAAACTTTTTCTCGGGAAGCCAGGCGGTCATCACACCAACGAATTCGGTAATTCGAAGGTCAAAGGTTGCACAGGAATTCCTTTCAGCCCTAACTAACATTAGCATAGTCTTCAAGGTTAGCTTCAAATGAGTCCTTGGACATAGATATATTACAGGAAATTGAAGGACAAGTATAATGTTCCACTGAGTGAGGTGAGGTGGAATTGGGATTCCCATTCATGGTTAGATTAGGGCACTTGTAGAATAACTAGGCTACTATGGCCACAAATGGATAGAAAAAAAATTGGAGAGCTGCTCAGAAGAGGGGCTATTTCGAAGGTCATAATAATAAAGGTCATGTATAACCGGTCATTGGCTATTCGGCAACGTTCTCAAATTATTAGCCTGGCGTATGTTTTTTACACAGTTTCGGTCAAATAATAGCTGTTCCAGTGCCATCAAGTGTATTCGCAGTTTCGAGATATTTTTCCTCGTAGGAATATCCAAGCACATCCTCTACAATTGTAGCTGGCTTATATCTCGTCTTGAACGATACAAGTTACAGCTCTCTTTTGGAGACTCTCTGAGCTGCACACATAACTTCTGATACGGTTCAATTCCACGAAGTCGCACATACTAAGTAACCATTTAGACTGAATGGGCCTTTCGATCTCAGTTAGCAGATGTGTACTAAAAGGCCGAATATGTCTACTCTTTAGCCGACTTCAAACAAACTTGTCATTCAAGAATCGTTGAATAAGTGCAAGCAGTGCCTTAAGTGTGATGTATTAGATTATACTACATTATCTTCAGATGTGCTGATATATAACTATTTACCTATTACAGTTCTGACTTTGAAATTTTCAAAATATTTAAGCTGGAAGATGTGTAAGAAAAATTTCATGCCAATAATGCTACAGAAAAGCCATAAAAAATAATCGAAAAAAGTAGGCCGGCCAACATAATCAGAATACTCGGGTTGTAGACGAAGCTTCTGATTGCCTAGTTGTGAAGTATGTATAGGTAATGAATAAAGCGCGTGTATAATTCCTTGTCATGCCTTTCCAGTTCGATTGTTTTCTATATAAATTCGTAAAAGAAAATGAAAAATAACGGGAATGCTGATTCACTCTCAATTACTTGGTGCTGAAAACCGCTATGACCAATAAAAAGGTATAATGTACTTATGTATGTAAATATCGAAAAGTGATTGCCGTGAATTCGAGCGTAAAATAAAAACGCACACATACGCACACACACACAATTTTTCATTTCACTGCATTTTTGGTGTTCACACCTCACTATTAAGAATTGCCACTACGCTGTTAGTTACTTAAGTGTTAAAATGTAACCAAATAGTTGTGAATTTTTTAAAGAGCTAAAATTTTAAGTGTTGGCGAATTTACTTAAATACTTAAACTAAGTAGTCACTTATTAAACACTATTGTACAATACCATTTATAATTGTTCAAATTTCTGCTAAAATTTGCTTAAATGAAATTTTTTCGCTTGCAAAAAAAGAAAACTTGGAGTTATAAGTAATTTGTAAGAAACTGAAAAATAAAATAAAATATGAGCGCGTCTGTAAACAAAAAGAAGCGGAGAATGGCTGTGCCCTACGATTTACTTACATAAATTAATGCATAGCTAATACTTACGTAAGCCTATTAAGTATTTATGAGTAACTAGTTTGTATGTATTGTATATATGTACCTATGTAAAATTAAAATTTAGTTAAGTTCGCTGCATTGGCCTAAACAAGGTAGCAAATAAAAATTTACTTGCATAGTTAATAAAAAAAAAATATGTATTTCCGTATACTATATTTTGTTATTTTATATTTACTTATGTATGTATGTATGTCAAATCACAATTGTAGCTATGTAATATTACAAATCTTAAGAACAAAAAATCGAATTTCTGAAATAAAAAACTAAATAAAAATTGTTTTAAAAGTAAATATCTTTTATTGTATGTTTGTATTTCGATTTTATGCGAGTAAATTTAGCACATCTCCAACTTCACCTATTTAGCTAAGATTTTCAAACTTCTTTCTTTGAATTCCACTGGTGAAGTAACAAATCCTGAAGGTCAAATATGTTATCAGCATGCGCCTTGGTAGCCGATTTCATTTTTACGATTGCCGGATATTAACACAGGATGTGCTCTAACGTATTGTCGCAAAATGGGGCAGACATCCTCAAATACTGCGGAAAATTAGAAACAATTTTTTATTTTTTTTTTTTTTTTTCAGGATAATCTCAGCATATTATTTAATTCGCAGGCAGTGGCAAACCTGTGAGTGTATGTGTTCCTGCTATTTGTCATGGCTTGTCATAAAAATAAAATCGCCGTCCTGAGTCAGCGCAAAACTGTAGGTTCCTCCTCTTTGTGTGGCCACATCAACATCACACCGGAGGTATTAGTCGTGTTCGATAACAAAATTAGCT